TATAATTATTATAGTATAATTAATGATTAAACTATTTTGCAAATAAAATAAACCATGTTATAAAAAAGGGAAATTTCAATTATTACACTTATTACTTAAGAAAAAAAAATACTACTTTGGTAAGTTTGAATATATTTTTAAGGTTTTCTTTCCATTTACATTTCATTAATGGGACGTATTACACTTCTTGTCAGCAATCAGTTTATCGTACTCCGGAATCATGTTTGAACTCAGTATTTTCAAAATATCTTCCAAATGTTCATTGGTTAGAGTTTCACTGCTTCGGTGAGTAATTTTGCCGCCCTCGTCATCGTCATAATGTGTCAGCGCTCACAGGCTGATTGGTTATTTCCCGGAAATCACCCCTGCGACAGTTCATTGCGGAAACTTTATTTAAAAAAAAAACCATATACTGCATTTTCGGACCTCGTGCTCACGAGTGATGTGGCCTGCGTGAAATCCTTTGGCAGGCCACAAGCGGCCTGTGGGCCATATGTTGTGCAGGCCTGCTTTATGATGTGATGTAGAAAGTCTCTCCAGTATTAAGGGCCTGAGAAGGTTTGGAATATGTAGATCAAGTTCAGCATTTTGAATTAAATCCATAAAGCTACTCACCAAAAATGTGTCTGCGTATCCAAATGAAAAGTAGATATAGGAGCTCCCCCTCCCCCTCCCAAAATGTGGTATGAGTAGTTCTGAGCTATCCATATATTATTTGTCCAGGACAAGTACTCAAGTCACTGCATATTTCAAAAAAGAAATAAGAGAAAAACCACAAAAAACTCATTTTCCTATATTCCTTAATGTAAGATTCATGTATTTCCTGTAAGATATAAACTTCCTGTCCCTGCCACAAGAATGTGTGTTTGATACTTTAATAGAAAAGTGGTACAAAAAAGTTTTATAAATAAAACAATTGGAAATGTAAGATTGGTGAGACAAATAGAAATCATCCACATTTCTTTTTCTTTATTTTTTTTGGAATGCACATACCAGTTGTTCACATTATAGGGATTCAGCTTCAATTGTCTTATCATTACTGTAAACTAGAACAAAATGCTCCTGATTGCTTGGTCATTGTTGTAACATACTGACAGCTGGTCAATCATATTCAGCTGCTTGAAGTTTTGGTTTCACTTAGAGCCCCTCTTAACTTGTCGCTAAATATTGGTGGTGTGTGAGTTCCTGTCAAGCTAGGTTTTTTTATAATTAAAGTTAGAAAAGTGCTATGATATAGAGGATAATAATAAATTTTAGTGTATCTGTACGTGTATAAACTTTAATGTTAAAATTCAGAAATCTTTTGGAGCTGATGTGATTACTACTTAAATAGAACCGTTTTCACCTTGTGAAGCATCCTGCTTAATGACAAGATGTGTCAATCAATCAATCAGTTTTATTGATTAGTCTTGCAACCATATCAACCAACAAGATGTGTCATGTTTGCTGTTTAACAAAAAATATATGTAGCTGGTACCAAACAATGTGTGCTCAGTTTTAAGAAAATAATATATTGATCAATAGTCCTCCCTTCTTTTTGGATATCTTGCAAGCATCTGGTTGGCCGCTGCCAAAGGCAAAATATTTATTCATGTATCATGAAATATGAATTTATACCTTTTCTTCTTTTCTGTGATCTGTCATTTCCTACAGTGAATATTATTTTATCTAATTCCTGATGTATCTATTTAGTGTTGCGAATAGGTTCATCAGATTGCAAGGAATGTGGTAGATAGTTGATACCTTCCATTTTTTGAAGGCCTTTGAATATGGTCTTTTAGTTGCTTATAGTTTTATGATTTTAGAGTTTTGAAAGCATCAAGCCAGACTTTTTGGGATAATTGAGAGCAACCAAGAGGTGAGACATTCATCACTTCTCTTCTTTGATCTCAGATTTTGAAACATCTAATTTTTTCCTCAATATTATTTCCTTCAATCATATATATTCCTATGTAGCTAATTGATATGTTCACATTTCCATGGGCTTGTTGTAGTTCTTAGGATTTTTCATCAACTTTTGTAACCAAAATAAATTCAAATCCATTTCTCCATTTACATATTCTCATAATATCAAAGTTGTCATATTTCAGGAGTGTGGCAATGAAAAAGAGTCTTGTCTCTTTGGTGGCTGGATTCACAAGCCCTTCATATGTATATAATATGGGCATATACTTAGGAATAATTTTGTTTTATACAGTACATGAAAGCATTCTGTTTTTATTTTATGGATTTCAGCTTTTTTGTACATATAAACATATTTAAATAGAAAGAATGAGTGTGTAAACCAAATGAATATCTTAAATTTATTTCTGAAGTGAGTTCATGACCAAATATGGGGCCCAGTCAGAAACAATATGAAAGATGGAAGTACTATCAAAAAACTTAGAAGAGATTATTAGGCCATTGATTAGAACAGAATTCTAAATTAAATTATCAGTGACAAATAGCTGTCACCAGCCATTGCTTGAATACATTCAGTGAGGGGGGAGCCTACTACTCAGGGTAATTGGTTCCATTGCCAAACTGTTTTATTGTTAGGAATAATTTTTAATATTTAACTGGAATCTGCCATCCTGTAATTTAGATCCAGTATTTTTGTGGATGACCTCTCAGCCTTTTGAGATGATAAGAGAATAGATTTTATCCTCCTCCCTCAGTGACATCCTGTGCTGGCAGAAGAGAATCTAATGTGGACATTTTAGGTCACATAGATAAAAAACCTTTGGATGTCAACAATCTGCTGTGCTCCGGTTAGCCTGCTGCAGGATTGCCATACCCTTTCCAGCTGCTGGGTGCTAAGCCTCCCTGGCCAGTTTTGGTGGACACCTCACTGGCACAACATTGTCTTTTGTGTTCCTCCTCCTCCTCCTTCCCTACCATGCATAAAGCCCTTAACACAACCCCTTACATTTTGAAGGTCATATGGAGTGGTGTTTTTCTTTAAAAAAGCTCCAGAGGTGTGAGGAATATCCCTTGTTGGTGCAGAAGAGGGATGTTTCCCTCCCTCCCTCCCTTCCTAAGAGGGGTTCCTCCCTCCCCCCACTACTCCCTCCCATTTGGGACAAATAGGAAACAGTCCTCTTAAAGTCTGCTCACAGCGTTCAAATTGCTCAGACTTTTGTGCAAGTGATTGGTGTATCCCCTACTCTCTTAGGTGCTCCCCTTTTTCTCTTTTTTTAATTTGTCTTTAAACAGAACAAACAGAAAAAAGGAAAGGAAAAGTACTGTGTGTACTTTATATATGAGAATGTGTGTGCATGCATAGAGTTTTATAGAGTTTCAACAAAGTATGACCATATTTAATTATAACTGTCCATGTATAGTCTATATTTGTAAGCAACTTGTTTAATTGCCATGTAGATATGTAATTCAAAAGAACATGACATGAAAGTCTTAAAACCTTCAAATTCAAATTAATAAATGTAATTATTTTTTCCCAGAATATAATGATTTTAGGACATTGAAATAACATGTATTTGAATGAATATTTGAATGAAATACTATTGCATCTCCAACAAAACAATGATTACTCACTCCTGTTCTGTACAAAAGCAATGCGGAAGGTTGTATTTCCTTTGTTTTTTGCAAAGCCTCAAGAAACCCAAAGCAGAAGGCTGACTAAGAGTTGGTAGGTTGAAATTGACTAGCTCATCCACCATCTTTTCACCCACTAACCTTTTTCCTAGTGGTGGCTCTGCCACTGACTGACATAACTAAGTTTCTCAGTGGTGTCTGAGATAGGCAGTTCAGCATATTATGCCCACCTTGAGCTATAACACCAAACCAAACTAAATCAAACTAAAACCAAACCCCAAACAGAATTTATGAGGGGAGTGACTGGCAGTCCATTTTCCTGCAAGTAGATGATGCTGGATGGGAAATACGGTTGGAATTCTGACAAACTCTGCCTGGAACTTACCTCACATTACAGCATGTGCATGCAGTAATACTGACCAGCCCATGGCTGACGTGTGGTCAATATAGGCTGAATGGCCAGTGCTTTTTGCACTAATATATTTTTCTTCCAACTCAAGAATGGGAGAAAAGTAAAGTACAACCAACACGAGGAAGAGCCCATGGGCTCTGTTCAGAGCAGAATAAAGTGAAACAATGATTTCCAATTACTGTACTGCTGATACATATTCAATTTATAATCAACTATTGTTCCAAGATATTTTGTACAAATACTCTCCCCAGGTGAGATATTCTCCATTCTGAACCCAAGCATTTCTTTTGTCTCCTAACTACATAACTTTGCATTTGTATGAGTTAAAATTCATTGTTATTTTCAGCAAATTTCTCTAACTTTCAAGATGGCTTAAGCCAAAATAGTGTTTTAGGATTGTATTTGCTTTCTTTGCAGCTCCTCACCTGTTGGCTCATCTTCTGCTTCTGATCCACCAAGAGTTCCAGTTGCTTTTCCATGTGCAGTTGTCTTCCTGCCCCCATACTCATGTTTTTGATTTTTCTTACCTAAATGTAAAACTTTACATCTATCTCAGATGAAATTCATCTTGCTGAATTTTGTACAATCTTTCACCTTGTCAACATAGGATACTGTCCTCTAGTGTGACTGTAATCCCTCCATCTTGTGTCATCTGCAAATTTGTCAATCATATTTTCAAACTTCTCATTCAAATCATATATAAATATGTTAAGCATTTCAGGCCCTAGAATGGATCCCTGTGATATATCATCCAATAGTTCTTGCATTAATGTATGTATACTTGGGGAATACAGTTGTTCAATCAGCTCTGTATTCATCTAATATTAGCATTGTCCAGCCCACAATTTTAATCTTTTCTACTAAAATCTCATGGAAGACATTGAATGCTTTGCTAAAGTTCAGACATGCCATATCTACTGTATTCCTATAGTCAGCTAAACTGGTCACTTATCACAAAAGATATTTCTGTGGGTTTTTGATGATTTATCCTCGATAAATACATTCTGGCTCCCACCAAGTAATGCATTATTTTCTAACTGCTCACAAATAAACTGTTTAATAATCATTAACTTGGTTTTGCCTAGAATTAATGTCAAACTTAATTGTTTGTACTTTCCTGGGTCCTCCTTGGTATTCTTTTTTGAAGACAAAAACACTTGTCCTTCTTGGTCAACTGACATTATATCTATCCTCCATAGTTTCTCAGAGGTCTTAGGTGACACCTTTCAAACATATTCTTCCATGTTCTTCTGAGGTGCAACTCATTTGTTTCAAAGAATCCCTCATCTTTGAAATTTTCACCATCCTATTAGCATTATCTGAATAGCCAGTTATTTACTTCCAGTACTCCTTTTCCTAGGTCACATCCTTTGACTGGAGGGAGTGAAGAAAACATAATCTGTGGCCCAATTCCTTCACCCGCCACTAAACCAAATGCTTGAAAGATCCAGAAAATTGAAAAGGCAGCCATGCCACCACTTCTTTTCTGTTCAGAAGCGTTTGAAGAGACAAAATAGGTTAGCAGGATTTCAAGGAAATTACTGAATTTAAGCTGACCCCACAAATTCTTTGGAGTATTTAGTAGTAACTAGTAAGGAAATGCTGCTCATATTCCTTTTTTAAGCAAAGGAATATGAGCAGCATTTCATCCTGAACATAAGATACTGGTCTGAATAGATTTTTGATTTAGCAGGGCTTTTAGGAATACAGAAAGACTCAGAGATTTATATTGTTGGCTCACCTTACTCACTATTTTCAGCATTGACTAGCAGAAATACCAAGGACTAGACTTGAGACCTTCATTGAGCAAGGCATGCTTTCTTTCAGTGAGCTGTATCTTCTTCCCAGTGTTGGTGTGTTCATATGTATTTATATGTGTGTAAAATAGAAATGGGTGAAAGTGTATTTGTACATGTCAAATTGGTCCATTATTTTTGAGAGCAGGAGTTGACTTTTACTCTCTTTGACATACTAACATAGCGATTGCTCTAAAGCAGGCCTTGTGTGGCCTGCTACTGTTTTTTAAAAAGTAATCAATTTGCTGCTGCTGCCCAGAAACAAGTACTGCCAAGCATCTTCAAGCCTCACAGCCGCTGCCAGCTCCACTGCTGCCACTGCTCTGCTAGCTGCCAAACAGCTGATTGGTGCGCCCGGTATTCCATCCTTGGTTAATTTATCGATATGGCCCTTTCCCTTCTACAGGTTGTGTAGACCTGCTCTAGAGGGTAATTGTACATATGAATAAAATATCAGTGACCAAGGTGATGTTACTGGTATACATTCCAATCATCTAGCATGCTTCCACAGTCTCTTATCCACTCCAAACTTCAGAAGAATAGCTGGGAATAAATAAATAACTTTGGCACAAGTTCAGAACCTGTATATAGATATAGATTCTGAACTTGTGCAAAAATTACAGAAAGATTCCATTCTTTGTAAAAATACATTTTTCAGTGGCCATCATGTTATTGCTTTGTGTGAAAACAAATGAAATATTTAAAACGAGAAAATCAGCATGTTACATGGTGATGCAAATTTTATTCACAAGTAAAACCTACAATGAAATGTTTGTGATTTAAGTACTTTTGTTTGCGGTTCCAACCTATCCTTTCCGAAAAAGAACACATGTAATTATACTTGAGAAAGTTCAATGAACTTTGGGCTACTTTGATATTTCCTCCCTTATTTATGTGTATGGATCATGCTTACTTTGGTCATATTAAGAATTCATACTAAGAATGATCACTATTAGCACATAGGAAGTGCTCTGGTACTGGCACTGAAAATGGATTCTATGATTTGGTTCAAATTAATTTATATACATAATTATGGAAAACTTTGCAAAATGTATTAGTTTTGAAAAAAAAATCTACAAATGATCAGTGAAAAGGTATTTAAGAAATATTAGCAAAATACATGGTGGCAAGGGAATAAAAATATTTGTAAGAAATATGTGAAAATGAAACAGAAGAAAACTTTTGTTTGAAATATATTTATGTGTGAATATAGTGAAAACAGGGAAGATATCACTTGTTACGGGTAATTCTACACAGAAATGTATGTGTTTTTCGCGAAATCTTTATTCCAATATAATCCAATTACATATGAAAATTTTAGATCTAGTGGAAATCCCGGTTACATCTTGACTAGATAAGAAAAAAAAAGTGATTTTTTATGGAAAGGTATAATAAAATTTTTAATGTTAGTGTATTAAATCTGTTTATGAAAATTAATGCTATTGATTTGTCTATTTTCAACTGTTTTGTAATTATGCTGAGCCAGCCTACCATATGTCCTGGACTTCCTCAATGCTCCCCTTTATTGGAGAAAGGAAGAGTGTATCCCTCACAACTTATCCTGATTTCTCTACACCAGCCAGCTATCTAAGATGTAGGGAAAATATTTTTCTGTCACAAATGCTGAAATAATATTCAGTTGCCAATAGAATGAGAAATAAGTGGCATCATGTCCTTTGCCACTATGGGATGGCATTATTAATAGTAATTAAGGTCTGCCTTACCTTGCTTACCAATGTCCTGATACTTGGGGTTCAGCCAATATTTAAGTAGTATTGCACATTTGTCTACGGAAGTCAGCAGAATCAAACTCTGTCCATGTAGGGCTAGAGAAAGATTTGTCTTTAGAAGCCTTGAAACCACCAGTGCCAATCAGCATGGTTGGTATTGAATTGGACAGGGTTCTGCTTTAACTGAATAAAAAGTAGCTTCCGTGATGCCTTGTTCAGCAATATCATAAGAGATGCCATTGTGGATGTCTGGGAGGAGGCAAAGAGGGCAAATATATCAATGTCATGATGCAAAAATTAAGACTTGTCTCCCAGTTCTGACCTAAATATGTAAGTACATAAGGATGAGATTTTGTCGTGACATCATTGTGCATGTGTCATCATTTTGACATAATCTTAGTTTGCTGTAGATGCCTATGGATGTGAAATTAAGATTTAAAATTAAAATAAAAAATGAATTGCTCAAATGTTGTTTTGCTTTTATTGGTTTCTCTTTTATTTGTGACTGGTCAAAACACTAAACATGTCTATTACTAACACTGTATGAATTAGAGAATGTCATGCATAAATGTATTTAAAGAGTTGTGAGAAGGAAGTAAGGGAGTCCCAAACTGGGATGACTTGTGAGTATCATAGCTGGTACTAACTGTGCCAGAAAGAGACCAAATTCCTAATTAAGATACGGAGGTGTTCATGATATGATAGACTTCCAGTTTCCCAAGCAGATATCCCCATACATTAAAGAAAGGACTGAATAATTCTACTATGACAGATCGAGTTATGTTACTAATTTATTGTTCTTGAGTGGTATTGCTTTGGTTGAATAATGGGATGATGACTAGATTGGATTAGTGTGCAGTTTTATTATTATTAATATATTATCCAGAATAGATGCAGAGAGTCTTGCCCAGATTTTCACATTCTGAATTTGCATATAAACATCCACATGCTGAATCTGGAAAACAGCATAGAATAATTTATGATGATTTTTCCGTTTTTCCATGTGCAAGAATTATTTATTATTGCTAATTATTTAAAGCATTTTTCATTCTTCAGTCGCAGAGTTTTTCAGAACACCTTAAAAATTAATGAGTCACAATAATTAATAATTATTATAATTCCTAATAAAGAAATATTTCTGAAGATAATACCAGGCAAAACTGGAAGCTTGAATCACAGTATAGTACATCTCAATGTATTACACCCAGTATTAACATGTATTTGTTGAGTGACTAAAACTGTGATTTACCTTGTTTAACATGAATGCTTGGGATTTATGACTTTCAACATATAATATGACTATTGATAAGACAAAATGTAATTGGTCACTCTATTTTTGTATGTTATTTGTGGTATTATTGTAACATAAATGGGTTCAGAAGTATATATACAATATTTGCTTGTCAAGATGATTATCTGCCTGCTGGATAAAAGAAAATGGGTAAAATTACTGAAATGCAGAAGGACTTTTTATTCTACAGTATTTCCCAAAGGATATGAAACCAGTTTTGGGTGTCTGTTACAGCTGACCTTTGAAAGAATAAATTAGGTTTTTCAAGCCTTCTCTGATGTGTAGCCAAAAGGGAGCTGTCTAGTTACATGCATTTTTAAACATCTGCTAGGAGAATCTAAGATCAAAATGCAAAATCTTTGGCTCAGCGGTAGTCCCTTGAGGAAATGTGAAATCTCTGAACTTATAAAACAGAAGCACTTTCAGGCATAGAGTATTTTCTACACAGAAAGCTGTTTTTCATTGTACCTTAACTACTGGAAGTATAAAATTGATCAAATACAGCATTGCAGTAAAAACCTGAAGCAAATACATAGGTAATATATATTCATATATATTTTTATTTTATCAGAGGAAAATAGAATCTGGAAGATGTTAAGTTAGTTCATTTAATTTTAATTTCCTTATTGTAGAGCCATAAGAGCCAAAAGTAATATGCATATCTTTTTGTGTGTGTGTGTGTGTATCTGTTTCACAAATTAGACTGAGAAATTGATCCTATTTCAAGGTCAACTTTCCAGCTTTATAAATTTGAATGTGGCTCCCCTCATCAAATATTTTACTGGTTCAAAATGTTTTATCAAAGTAATATTAATCTATTGGAAAACTTGATGGTCCTTGGACAATTATCAGTACACATCTGAGCATCTTTCACTGGCTAAGTTCACACAATAAATTACACTATAGTTTGGTTTTGGCTTAACATGCCATGTGAAACTAGCAGTTTGATTTGAAAATAACTAGTTATCTTAATGTATGTGAACTCTAGTAATGGCGATTTATTTACAAACCATAGTTAGCAAACTAGAGGTTAGTGCACTGTGTGACCAAGGTATATCAGAGATTGACCATACCAAAGATCAGTTTCTTATATCCCATTTGTTTGTTATCATTAGCATGATTTCCAATCTTTTAGAACAATAATTATATATATACCCATCCCATTGTTTTCTTCTGGGGTAAGCTATGTTTTGCAAACCATAGAAAGGAAATAAGATATAG